CGGGATAATTTAAAAAAAAAAAAGCATTGGAAAGTATATAAGCTAGGTGCTGAAGTTCTCAGTGAATGTGATAAAGTCTAGAAGTATAGACAATAGCAAAGGGTCCGTGAAGATGTCACGAATCTCACACGAGTAGGTCTGCCTGTGAGAGGAAGAGTAACGATCTGGAAGATGCCAAGACTACAGGGCCTCTGTGGTGGACGGCGTGGAAGAACAAGCTGGCTCCACTTGGGTGGGCTGCAGGGATGTAGAAGCCTGGAGAAAGTCCCGTCTCCAGCAAAGGAAGGTGTGTGAGCTTTGTCGAGAGGCGAACAGCAACAACCTAGTACACGGAACTTTAGAAACACCATGTAAAGGCAACGTCAGTACATGTAATACTACTACCAAAATAACGTAACTGTGTGACCTCTGGCATTAAAAAGCTCTGTAAGACTGTTTACTTAGCTATGAAATACAGACAGTAGCTGTTCCATATACCTTCTGAGGTGGTCAGGATAGAGATGTGAATGTATCTTATTTAACTATAAAGCAATTTGAGTTATGGGACTAGAATTTGGGCAAAATGTTACACTGAAGTATGTATCTGGGTTACTAACGGATGATTACAGCTACATGGGCATAAAAGTTTTATGTTGTCTATGTGTTTTATTCTATGTGAGTGTGAAACTAACTTAAACCAGGGAAGGTAAAAAAATGAGTAGTGAGGGTGTCAAATGTCCTAGAGATCATCAGAGTCGATTGAGAATAGAAAAGAATTATAGACATGACAATTAGGTCTCTGCTAATCCGGGAAGCAGTAAGTTTTCACTACGTAATATTCGAGGAATTTGACACAGATATAAAATGAACAAAACGAGTATTTCAGTGCTTACCCACTAAGAGCTTTCCCAAATGTCATTCAATGAATGTTCAACAGCAAGCCTATGAGGTAGACATTCTTCCTATTCGCCAGACGGCCAAATCAAGACTGTGCAAAGCTCTAGGGATCAAGACCTTTTCCTGTGAAGTGCCAGCTAACAAAAGCCTAAAGGCTTTGTGGGCCACAGTCTGTCACAACTACTCAACTCCGATGTTGTAGCACAAAAGGAGCCCTAGATAAGACATGAATAAACATGGCTGTCTTCTAGTAAAGTTTTACTTACAAAAACAGGTGTCTCACCAGGTTGGGCCCATGGGCTATATTGTTTGCCGACCCCTACCCTGAACACAATTCTTCTAACCCAAAACCCAGCATTCTCTGCATTACACCAGATAATACAATTAACTAGTCTAATGGTCCCTTTTCAAAGTATACTGTTCAAGCCATAGACACATTCTTTAATGGCACCAGTGTGGAACATACCCACATTTCTAATGTATAGAGGAAGAAGCAAAAAGCAGCTCATTAATGTCTTGGAAAACAGGGTTTAGACTAAGATTGAATTTGAGTCAGGGTATCTTGGTTGTGGCTTCGGCTACATTGCTAGGGTTTTTTCACTTTCAACAACCTAGTAGGTGTTAAGAGTGCAAAATGGTAGCAAATCTAGAGGGATGCAAAGAGAGGTGGAGCATGGCTTCCCTCCCCCAAGGGAGGGCCCTGTAACTGGGTCAGTGGTGACAGCCCTTGACTGTGGCCAATTTGGGCTCAGTACCCTTCAAAGAGCAAGCTCTCAAGCAGGAGGGCTCCTCACAACATGGCGGAAGGGAATAACACCCCAGAAGGGGTACGCGTTATGTCCCACCTCAGGGGGCTTGGCTCCTGTCCACCACATACCTGGGTCCCACAAAAGGAAGGCTTTACAGCTTAGAGCAGGGGTGTTAGGGGACTGGGCTAAACCTATTCCTCTCAAAACCAGCTATCTGCCTTATGCCTCAGTTGCCCTCCTCCCAGTGATTAGCTAGGTTGGACCACCAGGTTGTGTTAGTGGCGCAGCCCAAAGCAAGTGAGTAGTTAAAGTTTCCAGAGCCTAGTTCAGGTTAATTTCACCTCATCTGTATAACGGCACAGTTGGATTCTAAGGATCTCTAAGAACTCTCAGTTCCACCACTGAGACTTCACTAATATGATTAAAATATCCAATTTTACCAAAGTTCTAGTAAGCCAGGCAATCAGTCCACCTCTTGGCATTTTTGCCAGGCACTTTCTGAGAACGGTCAATGATGTATTACCACATATTGGTCCTCTTGCCTTTGTATACTTCTATGTATGGAAAGCTATACTTAGTTGGTGATACATAGGGAGCCTATCAGTGACGTTACTCCTAACAACCTGGACATACATTCACCCTTTCAGAAAAACACTAAATCTGTTTAGCTTTCTGAGTGAGCCAAGAGAGCCTGAGGGTATGACTAGTTTTCAGATACCTCAAATTCCAAATAAGATAAGCTGGAATCCTACTGTTATTAAGCAAGTAGAAAGCTAGCATTTTAAATTATAGTCTAAGTTTGTGAACACCAGGACAATGGTCAGTCTGGGGCACAAGAAATGGAGCCAAAGAAGCAGTTCAGTGCATACTCCAGCATTGCCTAGAGCAGATTCATCTGGGAGACAAACTTCCTGGTCACCTTGGAGGTGTATTCGTATGCTGTCAGGCATCAGCCTTGCCTGTATGAACTATACCTTAATAGCCACTAATTCCATGCTCAGCAACATCTTCCTTAATTTACAATGGGGTTACATCTTGACAAACCCATCTAAGTTAAAAATATCTTAAGTCAAAAATGCATTTAATACACCTAACCTACTGAACCTCAGAGCTTAGCCTAGGCTGAATGTGCTCAGAATACTTCTATTAGCCTACACTGAGCAACATCATCTAACATAAGGCCTATTTTATAACAAAGTATTGAATACCTCATGTAGTTTATTGATTACTTCACTGAAAGTGCAGAAAAATGGTTCTACCACTTGTTTACCCTTGTAATTGTGTTGCTGAGTGGCAGGTGTGGCTCACTGCCACTACCCAGCAACACAAGAGCATCGTACGCATACTGCTAGCCTGGCGAAAGATCAAAATTCAAAGTACGGTTTCTACTGAATACATACCGCTTTTGCAACTAGTAAAGTCAAAAATTCCTAAGTCAAACTACGTTAAGTTGTGGATCATGTGTATTCTAATGATTAAGGAGAGCCAAAAGACCCCATCACTAGAAATGAAAACTTTCCACTGTAAGTAATTGGGTTTGGTTTACTCTTGCTGGATACCAAAAACCTAAGTCAAGTCAGCTGGGAAGGAATAGGCCCTGGAAAGGCCTGTTCCTACACAGCATGTGAAGTCCACCAAAAACTTTTTCAATTTACAACAATCTTCAAAGGTTAAAAGTGCAAATGTACAATATAATGTCTATAAGGAAATTGGAGAAAAGTGCAGGAAAAGCATGAGAAAAAGATTTATACCTACCACCAGAATGCCAGCTACCTAAAGCAAATTGCCACCTTATAAATGGGATAGGGAAAAACGTATGGTAAAATTACAGAGATGAGCACATCAGATTTAGAAACAGGAATTGGAATCTGTGTCCTTGAGGACACTTAGCATACTGGCAAGAATCCTAGATTAAGAAAAGAGAGTCCAGGGGCCGGCCCTGTGGCAGAGTGGTTGTTCGTGAGCTCTGCTTTGGGGGCCCAGGGTTTTGCTGGTTCGGATCCTGGGCACGGACATGGCACCACTCATCGGGCCGTGCTGAGGCGGCATCCCACATGTCACAACTAGAAAGACCCACAACTAAGAATATACAACTATGTACCAGGGGGCTTTGGTGAGAAAAAGGAAAAAATAAAATCTTAAAAAAAAAAAAGAAAAGAGAGTCCAAGCGAAGTACTTTTGTTATAGACCACTGGTTCTAGTTCTGGACCTGTGCCGTCAACATGCTGGCCACCAGCCATTTGTGGCTATGCAAATTTAAACTAAAGTTCTATAAAATAAAAAACATCCATCATCACAGAAAGTTCTACTGGACAGTGCTGTTCTAGACAAAATATAGTGTGGGTGGCCCTGGAAAAAAAACTCCTTAAATACATCTGACTCTCACTTTTTATATCACTCACCAAGACACCTAAAATGAAGCACAAGGAATGAAGACCTGGGTTAAACCGTGCTAGCCTTTTGTTATTTCAAAGAGCACATACTCCTTACAACTAGAATGTCCCTAACTTTGAATAACTACAGGATCACTCACATTATAAATCACCAGAGGCACTTACTGCATCTAACTGGCCTAGAACACAGCAGGCACTCAGTAATTATCTCTGCCAAACATAGGCCTTAGTTGACCTAAGAGGCAGAGAAACAAATCAACTCCCTGGTCCCCATGTCTTCCCATATTGGTCCAGAACTGTCCACTACACTGTCTCAAAATACCCCTAACTTACGCCGTTACCAATGTCTCTGTTACAGGGGGTTTAACTTCTGGAGGATTTCCGAGAAGCAGTTTTTAATTCCCCATCATTAATACTCGGACTAGGACTTACCATCTCAATTATAGCAGGCTTTCCACACGTTTCTAGATTGACTTCTTTGCTTTCTTACATTTCTCCAAAGATTGAAAGTAAAACTCACAAGTTAGAAATTGCTTAATCAGGCCTTAAAGGCCTATCTAATCATTCCCATCACCTTTGAAACCACTGACAAAGGCTCCTCCCAGTCTCCTCATTGTCTCACAAAGAGATAACTGTCACCATGAGCAAAGATTTATTGAGAACTTCTCTCACCATTCTTTATGGCTTAGTTCAAGCTCACCATCTCCATAAAATTTCCAGGGACTACTCTAAACATGTATGACTTGGACTGTGTATGAAATAATTTAGTACATAAATGCTGCACTGCTGATTCTGGCCCAAGAAACTCTAAGGACGGATTACGGAGGTGTTGTTCTAGTTCAGGCTGTCCTAAAGGACCAAGTAAACACAACCTAGTACTGTGACTAGTAACACTGCTGCATCAATATTTAGGGCTACTGTACTTTTCAACCATTAAAATTTTGGTACCAGTCATTAAATCAAGCACACTAGAAAAACCATGACCTGTGATTTTGTTTTTAATTCTTAAGCCTTACAATCACATAATTTACAAATTTGTGCTGATGGTCTATCTCCTGTACTGAGTTGGCAAAAGCACCACTATCAATCACACATAGACAGTAGTTCTACAGTCGTGTGTGCTTTTGAATAGCTGGTTAAAAGACAATCCTGAATTATAACTTAGTCTGACTTAGAAAATAATTCACAAGCAAAGTTTACTACTGTATCGTCACGCTTCATTTTAAAAGCATCTGACCTTATAGATCAATAAAATCTGACAAGTGTTAAATACTCTTTATTTGATATTTCACATAAAACACACTAAAATGCCTTTCATTAAGTAAAAGGCAACATTTTGGACACAGGGAGTTTTAATTGAATTGGCATAGTTAAGACCAAAAAGATAAAGTTGACACTGCCAGCTTATCTTCAGCCCTTGCCTTTAACAGGCTAATGAACAAAACTTGAAACAGGTGAGTCTTGCTCTGTTCTGAGACAGTGATTGCCTCAGTATTTAAATATATTACTATAACCAGTTATATAAATCTAAATATAGAACCAATCTCCTACAGGTTCTGAGATGGCATTCAACATCTCTGTGAAAAGCTGAACATCACCAATCAAATTCCATCACATCTTTAGAAGGGGAAAACGGATAACTTGCTGAACCAGAATTACTACCAAAATTCAAAAAGCTTATTGTATCCATTTAGCCACAAGCCAATCTTATTTAAATCAGGACTGTTCAACAGAAATATTCTATCAGCCATTCATGATCTGAATTCTAGTGTATGAGATCAATTTAAATATGGTACACATAAAAAAGGGCATGAGACATTTCCGTTTTGTAATAAATAAGGCAGTGGCCAACTATTACTCATTAGTAGCTTTTTTGAGATAAGCTATTAAGTCTTCTCTTTCTGTCTTCTTCTTAATGCCAGCAAAGATCATTTTTGTTCCAGGGATGTACTTCTTGGGATTCTCCAAATATTCCATCAGTGTTTCCTCTTTCCAGGTGATGCCTAAACAAGGAGGAATGTGGTTAAGCATTTTACATATCTTATAAGGGGTTTACATAGGTTACATTCACGCAGTCCATACTTGGGTTATTTAATAATTGTCTCCCTCTTACCTTTGTTCTTGTTGGCATCTGTGTAAGAGAAGCCAGGGGCCTGACCCGTCTTTCGCCCAAATAGACCATGGAGGTTTGGCCCAGTCTTGTGCTTGCCTCCCTTTTCCACGGTATGGCACTGGGCACACTTCTGAACAAAAATCTTCTTGCCCTTCTCAACATCACCCATTTTTATATCTAAAAATGAAAGACTCAATTTATTATTTTTTTCCTCCAAGTAAAAATACAGCAGAAACTAATGATCATTCCAGTCACTTAAGTATTAATCCACTACAAATCCAGGACATTAAGTATCAGGGTGAATCTTGTTTTACTTAGTACACTTGCAATACTCTTTAATACCAAAAACATTACTTAGAAGAACTTTCCTAAAAACACGTGTGTGTTTAATTGCTCCAAGAGTAAAGCCCAAGTAAGCAAAGTGGGAACCTAGTTCCAAAGCGTTTCCAAAGGTGAGGTCAAGGTCACAAAAAGTCACAAATCTGATTAAACTGAACCGCGATTACACTAAACCGAAACCACCAATATTCTTACTTTTACAAAGGCCTATTTATTTATTCATGCTACAATTTAAAGCTACTCCTCCCTGAAAATAAGGCAAAGCAGGCTAAAAAAAAAAAAGAGGTCATAGTCGATTCAGCCAGCTCAGGTCACTAAACTGCCTTGCTGTGGATGGGGGGAGCAGCGGAGGCTGCGAGGTCTCCCAGGGACTCCCATCCTCCAGCTCTGGAATCCCCAGAGGCGAACACGAGCTTACCCGTCCCGGCCGGTTTCTAGGAAGACTGTGACAAAACCCACCTTCCCGAGGTGCCTGAGCAGATTAAGGGGAGAAGCGACAGGTGGCCCGGAAAAGAAATAACCCCCTATTGGAGAAGCAGCAGTCTTGCTCTTCTCGAAAAAGGACGTGAAAGCTGCGCACGGTCCCCTCACTGCCGCCCTCACCCTGAAAGAAGGCTTGTCTATCAATCCATAGCCCTTCAGGCCCGACACTAAGAAGCCCTGGGTCTCAGTCTGATCCGCGGCTCAGCCTTGACTGAGGCCATGCCTCTACCTGGCTGGGATTCCAACTCACATCAAGCCGTATCCCACCCGGGTCCGGCTGGGCACAGTCCGGGGTCGCCCCTCCCTACCCACTCCACGCGAGCTCACTCGGACGTCCCAGACGCGGGCCTCCGCCCGGCCACGCGCTCCCCACGCAGGCGGGCGCCCCCACGGGTCGGCCTGCTCCCAACGGCGGTCGCCGCACCCTGAGCTCACCGCTTTTTCCGCGCGCGATACAAGAGTTCCCGCTCGCAAGCCGGACGTCCCGCTCTCTAAGCCCAAGGGCACGCCGATCCACGCCTATGTACCGGTGTTGGTGCAACCGACCTCGCTCCGTCCCCTCGCGGCCCGGCGTGCGGCCGCGCGGGCTGATACGCAGTGACGTCACCGCGTCTCATTGGCTCCAGTCTTGCGTCTGCGACCTGCGCGCGCATGCCGGCTATCAGGGTAGGGTGTGCTGCGTGTGTGCCCTTCCTTTTGAGGCCTCTCTTGCCAAGCAGTTACGTCAGGCCATCGGAGGTACGACGTCGAGGTGGTGCTGGGAGGGGCTGACGTCGCTCTCTGGCCTCTGTGTGCCTGCGTGTGCGGGCGGGGAGGGTGGGGCGGAGTCGTGAGGTGGATCTGGTGCGTTATCTGCTGAGGTAACAGCTCCTGCGCTCGTTAATGTAATGCGCTTTTACTGGGAAGTTTGTCTACCCGGAGGGAGGCGCCCCAACGCCGACGCGCCGAGTCTCCTGGCTCCCATCCCATCAGCTGGCGACCCTTGCCCAGGCTCGGTCGTACTTCCGCGGCTGGTGCCAGGTGCACCCGGAGGGTGGGCCTGGAACCGGGTGTTGTAAGAGTTACGCAAGCCCTGTCCCTCGTTCCACCTCCACCCTGTTACTTGAAGCCATTTTCTTCCACATCTCCCTTGAAGGGCGCCCCAAAGCCTGGGGAAGGTACTGCCCCTGCGGCAGAGACTGGATTGTAGCTCGGGCCCTTCACCTGCCGGCTTCTTTTCTGACAACACTCGTCTCCCCCTCAAGTTTGTGGGCAGAAGGAACAAGGAGGGTGGGCAGGGAGCATCCAGGAAGAAACATTTTTACATGATGGGAGAGTTCTTGGAAATCTCTAGAGGATTTGCATCCCATCTGACCTAGCTAAAGGTCATGTTCAAGTAAGCTAAGGTCGTTGGGGTCATATTAGAAATGCGGATTTGATCACCACAGCGTCTAATTATCGTGCTTTTCTTTCAGAACTAGCTCCCCTTCCAGACATGCTCAGTTCTGTCATTGGGAAGTTTTTTCTCGATTCCCTTGTCCTTCAAATTCAGCCCCCGGATTCTGATGAATTTTTCCTCCTTTCTTCTCTCCCGCGCTGCCATATTCATTCAGTCAAGCGTTTATTGAATGCGTATTATGTGCCAGGCACTTTCTAGGGAACCTGGAGTAAATCAGATAGGACTGCTTCTCTGGTGGAGCTTACATCCTAGCATCCTACCTCCCATCCGCAACTTAAGCGATAGATCCTAGGAGATTGATTTAGATTACCTTAGATCCCTTGCTAACTAGTGGTCGTATGATTTCTGCTCCAGATCACCCATCTCTCTCTGTGACTGGATTGATTTTATTGTTTTCCGTGTCTTGACTGCCAGTTCCTCTCTCTCTAATCCCGCACACTACTGCCATAGAAGCGTGCTATAAAACAGAGCAGAAATCTCAACGCTTATTCAGGACCCTTTGTGACTTTGGGAAGGGACCAAGCTAGTGAGCATTTAGGTGTACTCCTAAAGTAGGCTCATTTGGCTAACTAACCAAGTTTTTGAAAGACCAAGCTTAGCAACACCTTGCAAATTCAGCCTGTAGTTTTGAAGCCAAGTCCTGATTACTTCAATAGGTAATTGTTCTATCAAAGTCTTTTGTGTTTGTGGTATCAGGTGTTAGTGGTCTTTGTTCATAAAGGAGTTGACTCATGGGGAGTATCAGCGTTGTGCTGATTTTGCAGATCCTATAGATGTAGCAATAAATCAGTTGGCCAAGAGAATTGGTTGACATCATTTTAAATTTATTCCAGTGAGGGGGAGAATAGAAGACAGGGAGTTCCTAATACTTTTAACTAAGGATATTGTGGATAAAGAGTTTTGTTATTGAAAGTAATAGGAAAATGAGGAGAAAGAAAGAGCAACAAAAGTGAACACTTGGCACAATCATGTAGTAAAGCAGATATCATAAATTATGTGTTAAAATATCTATGTATTCAAGTTTTAAAGAGATTCATAGTACTTACAGTTTACTCAAGATACCTGAGAGAATTACTTGAGAATAATGATATTCTTCAAGTTGTTCTGTTTGATATTCATGTTATATCTGTTCCCTCTACCTCTATCTTATGCTGTAGGGTGGATAGTGGCTGGTGAGGGGTATAACTGTCATAAAGCAAATGGCTTAGATTTCTCCTTCTGGCAACATAATGGATGACATATTTTTAAAAACTCTTCTGATGAAAAAAATCTGGTAGGATACCTCCCCACCCCCCCCATCCAAAATATGTAGAGAGGTCAGAAGAAAGGGGGAGATCTTCTGGGTGGGGGTCGGGGTGAGGTGGGGAACAAGAACAGAAAACGAATGTGATAAGCCTACTGACCCTAGGGCTACCTTAAGGACTTTTGCTGAAGTAAAAGAGCCTTAGGCTTTCAGAGCAGCTCAGTGGCACGGAAGTAAAGGTGGGAGTCGGGGGTGGGGAGAGAAAGTTGGCTAAGACCCCTGCCTAATGCTGGGACACTGGAATCTAAAGGATAAAATACAGTCTGCTCACAGGCAAAGGGAAGAACCAGGTTAGTCTTCTCTGGCTTGGGCTTTGGTACTGGGTGAGAAGAAAAAGTATCCCTGGAGAATTCACAGCCACAGGTCTGCCTTCATGCAGGCTTAGGGTTTGATTTTACTCTACCTGTGTTACTGCACAAAATTGGGGTTCTTTTGCTCAATGTGCATAAAAACCAATGATTACGGCATCAGCTTTTGGGCAAAGAAAACACCTTTCTTGCTAGATTGACCTGCAAGGAGACAGGGGCATATGCTCTCAGATCTGTCTTCCTGATCCAGGGCTTGGGGCACAATTTCTGTGATGAAGGGCAGGGCGGTCTGAATTGTGGAGAGAGATGATAGAGGTAAGGAGAAGTGAGGTAATTGATGATCTGTGCAAGCATAGTCAAGTTTCATGGCTCTTCATAGGATGCATGTTCACAAAATGGTGGTGTTAGTATGATCTGAGGGTGGAGTTTTTAGCTCCCTGACATCAAAAAGTTCACTTATCAAGCATTTGTGCAGGCCCAGTTGATGGATTGGTGGTCTCAACCAGCTTAAACTGGTCAAGGGTAGACTCTCACTTCCTAAAAGACATCTCTTAATTACTCTGATGATAAGATGGGGTCATTTGAACTGGTCCTGGAGAGCCTGAGGTTTCACCTGCATGGTCTGGTCTGAGAAACCTCTAGCTGAAAAATTAGCAAAGTAGGTGTGGATGGGTAGTGTGTTCTGGTGTCTGGCCAAAGCAAACACAGATCTCCAGAGGAATCTCTTAACCCAGGCCCCTCAGGATTTCCCGTACTCTTAAGAAATGCCAAATATGAGATCAAAATGAAAAACAATAAAGAGCAAAATTACACCCCCAAAGGGCCACAGGTGTCAGAATTATTAATATCATTGTGGAAGTAAAAATCTTGCCAAGAAAGAGAGACTTCTTCACATCACTATGTTGAGAAAGTAAACTATTCATTATTAAGTAAGCACAATGAAGTAGTTGTATATAGGTAATCCACAAGAAACTACCAAGTCAGAATAAAATCTCAAATTTATTTATACAAATTTATACAGCTAAACTAATTATAATCCTTCTATACCATGCTATTGTTAGCTAGCGTGTAACATGAGGCTTTAGGATCAATTGTACCCTATTTCCCATTTGGCAGCACAATTATCTTTTGTTACTTGGCTTAATAGTATAGGGGAGGAAGACATATCCTTTACCCACTGGGTCCTTCTGGCTGGGCTATGAATTAAATTCACATGAGATAGGATAACAGGAGAAAATCAAGCAAAGTTTAGTAACATGTATACATGGGAGACACTCAGGAAAACTGAGCAATTTGCCAAAATGGTGGAGGCCCTCATCCTAAATACAGTCTTCAGCTAAAGACAAAGGAGGATGTTGGGGGTGGGAGGAGTCAGTTGTGGGAGATTACAGGAAAGCACAATAAACAAGAGTAAGGTTATGCAGACTTAAGTCCTTGCCTTCTGCATTGATAAAAGTTTGTAGAGATAAGGTCATCCCCCCTTGTTCCTGGTACAGAGAGGGAGACACCTTTACACATGGAGATTTCCCTTACAAAAGTAAATGTCTCTTGCAAAGGGTAAAATTCTACTTTTCAGAGTTTCTCCAATGTCTGTAGTTTTTAAAAGTAACCAGTCTGTGGGGCTGGCCCGGAGACTGAGTGGTTAAGTTTGCGTGCTCTGCTTTGGTGGCCGAGGGTTTCACTGGTTTGAATCCTGGGCGTGGACATGGCGCTGCTTGTCAGTCCATGCTGAGGCAGCATCCCACATGCCACAACTAGAAGGACCCACAACTGAAATATGCAACCATGTACTGGGGGGATTTGGGGAGAAAAAGGAAAAAAAAAAAGTAACCAGCCCCAAATAATCCTCATGCCAAAGCAACACATTTTGGGGTGGCCAGTTCTGATCCCCAACAATAGTAACATGTTTTCCACAGGAGGATTTGACATCAGTCTGTGGCCAGATCTTTCTTGGTTGCGTTTTTGTTTTTTTGCATTTTTTCACTCTTAAGTTTACTTGGGAATTGGAGTAGCCATTTATTTAATTAGTTATCCTCATCCCAAAGAGTGATAAAACTTATGGTCGTTATCTCTCGGGGGATTGATTCCAGGACCCCAGAGGATACCAAACTCTGGGAATGCTCGAGTCTCTTATATAAAATGGCATAATATTTGCATATCACCAACACACATCCCCCTCATATACTTTAAATCATCTCTAGATTACTTATAATACTTAATGCAATGTAAATGCTATGTAAATACTTGTTATACTGTCTTGTTTAAGGAATAATGACAAGAAAAAAAGTCTGTAAATGTTCAGTACAGACACAACCATCATAGTCCTTTCCATCTGAGGTTGGTTGAAAGGGTGGCTGTGGAACCTGCAGATACAGATATCCAGGGAAGACTGTATTTTCCTGAGAAACAAATGGTTACACTTACATTAAATTCCCCAGGTGAAGGTCTATCTTCCTAGGTGTTTACGTTTCAAAAGGAATGAAGCCTAGGCCTCTGAGAGACTTATTTACATTCCAAAAAGTTAGAGGGAGGATTCAGGCCCTTTAGATTTTCCTAGCAAATGCTCTTAGAAGGGAGAGAGAGGGGAAATGGTCTCGTTTTCCTTTATAAACAAAGAAAATAATTTTTATTTACCTTTACAGTGTATAATATGAAAAAGACACAACAGAAAGAACTTATGAACTGTAAG